TGTGTGTGTGTGTGTGTGTGTGTGTGTGTTTGAGACATATTTAAAGCACAATGAAAATAACTTGCTCAAGTTTTTAATAATGCCTATGTACATTTTAGGGTTTGACATAGGTATAATAAAAGACGCAATAAATATATTTAAATAATATATATATATATATATATATATATATATATATATATATATATATATATATATAAATATATATAAAAGAAATAACAAATATAGTTACAATATATTAATGTTCTATTTTTTTAATAATAGCAATCTCAGTCGGTTGCCGGATCGTCGCAACCAGTTTTGCATATGTAGTTCGATTTCGCTTATTGTTGCGTTGCCATTCTTCAGAACTGTTTCTATAAATATATATATAAGCTGAACTAAACTCGATGTTTTTTCAGTTACTGGCGCATTCTTAGCAGTTCGTAAATATATATTGTATAGGTCCAAAAAATTGAGGTTTGCACACACACACACACACACACATAGTCTGACATTCAAAGTACTATAAAAAATTAACTTCTTTTTATCTTCAAGAGATTAAAAGAAGTAAAATTCGATAAAATTACATAAGAAAACTTATGTCATTGAATCATACGATTAAATTACATAGGTTTTTTTCTATGTTTTTCTTATATAATCCAATTCGGATTTTTTTCAAACTGAATGTTGTGCTAAAATGTAAACAATCACTGCGTACGTGCTTTTCGTTACAACATTCAAGAATTAACATGTTGAGGCCTTTTCTAAAAGTTCCTTATGACTTCCATTTTAAGGTGTCATTAAAACCTCTTTTTTAGGATATCATTAAGATCTCTTTTTCAGGATATCATTAAGACCTCTACAAATAGACATTATAAAAAGTTCTTTTTATAGAAGTCTTGAAAACTGATAACATATTGATGTCATTTCTTAGAGTCCTTAATGAACTCTTTAAAAAGAACACTTAAAGAACTCATGGTCACAACGACGCTGACTAGGATATAACACAAAGTGATATAAAACAATAAGATGTTCAATACAGTGCTAATAGTAAAATAACACAAATATGCTTTCACTGCCTATACGTCATCACGCTTTCGTTGTTAATTTTTAATGGACGTAGGATTCTTATGTCAAATGCTACTTGTCGTATAACCATAAAAATTAAAGTCACTATAAGAAATTCTACTCACTTTGTATATAATATGCGAGCGTAGTATTACATTATTTTTCACATTTAAACTACATTGCTTGATGCTTAAAAATTTTCATGGAAACTTACACAATTTACATATAAAGAAGAACATCTACCCATACAGCACAGCAGCGTTGCAGCAACATTGCAGCATCATTATTTTGCAATATTGTGACATTGCAACAACGTTGCAAAATGTTGCTGCAATGCTCCTACAACATTGCAGCAACGGTAAAATGTCCGCTTGCGGCAATATAACAACGCAACTGTATAGCAACATTGCAATGCAATATGTATGTAATATT